TTTTGCTAAAAATGATTACTAAAAGCTTTAACCAATCCAACTCGACCGCGACTGGCGAGATAGACATCGCAACTGATTGAGAATTATAAATTATGGTGTTCGAGAGCAGAATCGATCAAGGTGAGACTTAATATTCAAGAGCAAAGCCAATGAAAACGTGGAACGGTTTCCCGTTTAAAAAAGACGTCTCTGCGTGGTGTCTGCACCCGATATTTTTACGCCTGCTTTTTTACAATCGCTTTTCTGATAATCTCGCCGTGCAAGCTGCTTTTCCTATAATTCGTTATCCTACTTTTAATTGGCCTAGTATTCGTTCTTTCATGCCTGGCTTCGGTTTTGGTTTTGTATTACGTGATTTTATGAATCTTCTGAGTTTCACCTCATTTAGAATGTTGGCTAGGCGCCTCTTGGGATTTGCGTTGAAGGGCAACTTACCGAGTATTTATTCTGCATGTCCTTTATCTTCGAGGTAAGTGTCGTTCACGATGTTTTGATTAATGACTGATTGTAGTGATTAATTGGAAAAGTTTCTTGCATCACTTCCAGTTTTACTAGACCTTCAAAGATTTGCATCATTTTAAATTTTGCGACTAATTCTTATAAACAAGAGATAACAATGTCAGATAAATGGTACTAAGTGGCTATTTGAGTTCCTAAAGAAACTTCAAAATGACGAATAGTAATTGTGGGGAAATATTAGCATGTTTTTCGACTGCCAAACGTTCAGCCGTCTTGTGGGCAGAGTCGATGGTCCTTTGTGCCAAGTTCAACCGGCGCGGTCGTAACTGAGGAGGGGAATGGGTCGTTTTGTGGTTTGGTGAATGAACTCGTTTCAGATTCCACAGGACATGAATGTGGTGTGGAATCTGAAATGAGATTCTTTCACCAATCCATGTGGTGTGAATTGAAGGGTCGAGTGGTGTAGAGGGTTTTCGAACAACTTCAAGAAAAGAGCGTAGAATGGGCAAAATCGCAGCATTTGTTGTTTGGACACATACATGTCCATTCCCCTTCTCTCAGCTAACGACAGTTTTAAACAAATCTGGGGCATTATTTGGGAGCTCTGAATATATCACTTAATACCAAAATGCAACGCTATGCAAACAGTCATTCGGTGGCGGTGAAGTACGGAGATAGGAAGGTCGTATGGTGGATCCTCTGCAGACGTTTGAATGGGGTATTTTGAGCCCTCTTAGGAAGAGTGCTGGCTGTGGAAATTCTGCAGTCGACACTAAAAATGGTGGCCGCAGGACTTTTTGCTGTCCAGGGAATAAAAACGTCATCGGTAATTGTAAGAAGGTTACATTTTTGCATGCTGGTAGTTTCTTTTATAGAAAT